GAATGGTGGCTCATGCCTGTAATCCCAGCACTTTGGGAAGCTGAGGCAGGAGGATCGCTTGAGCCCAGGAGGTCAAGGCTGCAGTGAACTATGTATAGTGTGCCACTGCACTCGAGCCTGGGAGACAGACTGAGATCCTGTCTCTAAAAAGAATGTCTAAAAGGTCAAAGATAAATTTTGGGGAGGATGCAGAAGAAAGGAAACCTTTGCACACTGGTTAGTGGGATTGTAAATTATATAGCCATTATGAAAAACAGTATGGAGGTTCTTCAAAAAACTAAAAATAGAGCTACCATATGATCCAGCATTCCACTACTGGGTATATGTTCAAAGGAAATGGAATCAGTATGTCAGAAGAGATATCTGCACTCCCAGGTTCACTGAGGCATTATTCACAACAGCCAAGGTATAGAATCAACCTAAGTGTCCATCAAGGATGAATGAATAAAGAAAATATGGTATGTATGCACAATGGGATACTGTTCAGCTATAAAAAGGAAGAAAATCCTGTAATTTGCAACAACATGGATGAGCCCAGAGGACATTATGTTAAGTGAAGTAAGTCAGGCACACAAGGATAAATATGCATGATTTCACCCATATATGGAATCTAAAAAAGTTGAACTCATAAAAGTAGAGAATGTGGTGGTTACCAGGGGTTGAGGAGGCAGGTGGTTGGAGAGATGTTGGTCAAAGGACCATTTTATTGTATAAAATGGTGACTATAGTTAATAATAGTGTAATCTTGAAAATTGCTAAGAGAATAGATTTTAAGTGTTCTCACCACAAAAAAATAAGTATGTAAGGTAATACATGTGTTAATTATCTTGATTTAGCCATTCCATGGTGTATACATACATATTTCAAAACATGTACATAATAAATGTATACAATTTTAATTTATAAAAAAAATACTAAAAATAATAATTAAAACAAAAGAGTAAATATTGAGATGGAGCAGCCAATAGGTGGGAGGAAGCCCAAGAAAAAGAATGTGTTGTCCCTGCAACCAAATGACAAAAGTGGTCCAAGAGAAAGAGTAAATGAAATAACCAGAAAACAATGTCTGAGAAGAGAGGAAAGCGTAAAACCAGAACCCTGCATTTAAAGGACAGACAGAGAAGAGGAACTGCCAGGTAGATGGAAGGAGACTGGGAAAATTTTAAGTCCAAAAACCAGGAATGGAGGAGCAGTTGGTAATATTTTTATACTAAGAAATAAAGTAAGATATGGATTGAGAAGTGTCTATTGATGTAGCAAAAACATAGATGACTTTGGCTGGGGAAATTTAATGCAATGTGAAAGCAGAAGATGAGATAGCATTATCTTCCTGAGTGGTCAGAAAGCAAAGACTGAATACAGATGATGTCTTCAGAGGTTTAGCTGTGAAGGAAGTAAGAGAAAGGGCAGTAACTGGAGTGGGACATGGGGTCACAGGAAAGTTACATTTCTTTCATTAAGTTCTTTTGATTTTCCTTATAGGAATGTGATTTGCCTTTTTAGCATTATGTCTATTTTCTTGGCTTCATTTCATTTTGAGGTGATGGATGGAGCAAAAATTGAAAACATATTTGTGTAGTTAACCCTTTGCATGTGGTAAGGAAATAGCTTTACTATCTTAATTAGCAAGATTTTCTCTGTATAATTTTTTGAGAGATTCTCTAGATAATAAAATCTCATTTTAATGTATTTCATATTCTATTTGTTTTTTAGATCATTCATCGAGACATAAAACCTGAGAATGTTTTAGTATCCCAGTCAGGAATTACAAAGCTCTGTGATTTTGGTTTTGCACGAACACTAGCAGCTCCGGGGGACATTTATACGGACTACGTGGCCACACGCTGGTACAGAGCTCCAGAATTAGTATTAAAAGATACTTCATATGGAAAGTATGTATATTTTGGGATCTTGCTTGGCCTTTCCTGGGCATCTCTCTTTTCCCTTAGTATGTCTGTCATCCCTACTCCTGACATTCTCTGTCCCCTGCACCTGAGTTGGGGCTAAAAAGAGGGACATCTCTAAAGTTAACAAGAGAAAGACCATAATAGGCACCTACGTTGCCGGCTACTGCTGCTGCTATTCTCGTTCAATCCTGAATTGACTGGCCTGAGCCCCAAGAAACCTATGCAGATGTCCCTCAGGGTGAATCCGTGCTTGCTTTCAGTTGTGCCACAGCCTCGGCAGAGCTGGCTCCTCTGCTTATCTGTAGCCTCTACGTACTGCAAAGATTTTAAAATCATTTACCTCACTCTGCCCGTGTTGCAATAGGAACTGCCAAGTTTCCCATTAATATTTCCTGGAAGAATGGCACCCCCTTTGCAAAGCCTGGCAAATAATTTTTAAATTGTAAACTGTTGTAGGTGCCTCAAAAGTAGCATGGTCTCAGTCTAATGTGAAACAACAACCTAAAATACAAATAATCAATCTTGAAGAACGTAAAGGGACATGCCAGGACTGCAAACTAGTGCAACCTCTGTGGAAAGTAATATGGAGATACCTCAAAAGAGCTGCAAGTAGAACTACCATTTGACCCAGCAATCCCATTACTGGGCATCTACCCAAAAGAACAAAAGACACTCTATAAAAAAGACATCTGCACTAGAATGTTTATAGCAGCACAATTCA